ATACATACCAATGCCACGATAGTCTACTATTCCCAATGAGACCTAGTGCCTACTGTTAAAAGGTCTTGTATCTAGTAACATTGTTAGGGAAGGGAGTAATAAGACTTATGTGATTATTTTACATTCATTATTTTTCCACTTGGAACAATTTAGGGCAAAAACAGTATCTTTGAGGTCAACAGGTGACCTAGTGGTTAAGGTGCTGGACTCTCAAAGAGCTGAGCATGGTTGAGTACCAGACCCCAAAGCTTGAATATTACGCCAGGTGTGTGTGAGTGCGTGCGTGCCCAAAATCCTAAAAGAATGGAGGAACAGGGATTGTGGCATGGCCACCCCCTCAAAAGGCGGGGAGGTGATTTCTCACTCTCTGTCTCTGTGTCTCTCTGGCAAGCATATCCACCCTATAGCAAAAAAATCTCTCTAAATAAAAGGTATCAGGACAAACAGATGGCATAATGGTTATGTCACTGGACTCCCACAGTCAACCACAGTTCAAATACTAGACCTGGTGGCTTGAAACTCACACCAGGTGCATGTGCACACATGCTCAAAATCCTGAGAGGAGAATGGAGAAGGAATTACAGTGTGGCCATCTCCCCTAGGGGGTGATTTCTTGCTTTCTTTCTCTTTGTCTCCCCAGGGAGTGCACAGGCATCTTATGGTAAATAAATACATAAAAGGGTTTTGTTTGTTTATCTTTTAAAGATTTCTGCCATACAGTGCATGTACTTGCTGGAGAAAGAGACAGACAAAGAGAGGCTAAGTTATAAATCATCTTAATTCCTCTCCTCCATTCCCTTCTGGAGATTGTGGTTACCATGTACAGGTACCTATTGCCTTAATCATCATATCCCCTGTTGGCCCCCAAAATGGTATCTTTTGAAACCACTAAGAATGTAACTGACATTCTATTCCTCAAAACTCCTCTCAGTGTACCATTACAGGAAAAAACCATCAGCAACTACCAGCTTCTATACTATATTCATGGTGACTAATATAAAAGGATTTCCATAAAAGGCCCTGGTTTGAGTAAGTCCACATACTCTTTAATTATAATTCCAAAGGGTATAAATGGCAATAAAATATTTTCATTGACCATTCCATTAAAATTTTTAGTTTTTGTTAACTTTAATTTTTGGTGTTTCTCACCTAAGAAACTGTAACTTCAGTTCTGGACAGTAGCTATAATCCATCTTCTCCTATAAAATTTTAAAGTTCAAAAGTAATTTTAAAAGGACAAGAAAATGACTTAAAAAAAATAAAAGAACTTAAGCATTCAACTACGTAATTCCTTCATGCCCATTAAACAAAATAGTGATAATGTGTTTTTATTTCTTCAATTAACTAATTAATTTATCTACCCATCCATTTATTAGAGTACCTACTATGTTCAGGCACTTACTCTTCTAGGCCTTTTTGGACAAGGGCAGTTATCCCTATTCTCCATAAGACTATAGTACAGGAAATCAAGCAAATAAGTAAATAGACAACTTCTCCTTGAAAGAGGACAAGTTTATATTCTGAATATACTAAAGTAATTTTAGAAAACAGATGATCTTTTTCATGACAAAATTCTATTGAAACATTTAACAAAGAGTCATTATAAACCAAAGCAAAAATGATATGATAAAACAAACTTACCAATAAGAAAATCAGCAAAAGGTAACATTAAAGAAAAGGTTATGAAAGAGGAATAATAAAAGAATTGTAGGCATCTAAAAGATATCCCTCATCACTTACAAGGAAACATAAATCCACACACAAAATATTTAAGGATTACAGAACACATTTTGCGAGATTAATCTTGCAGTATGGATAATCTCAAAACCTTTTAAGTGTGCATACACTCTCATCTGGCAATTACTTTTTCCGAGTTAAAAAAAAAAAGCCAACATTCTACACATATATTCAATATATTCTTTAACAAAAGATGTTTACAAGGATGCTCAATACAAGTATGCTCATAAAAGACAAAAAATATATACCCGCCAATGGGGTCATGAATGCACAAAAACTAAAGTTTTAAATATATTCATGCAGAGAAGACGTCAAAGTTCTACAAGGAAAACACAATTAGCATATATAACAATTCTCCTTTATGTATTTTATGAAATTTGGGGATCTGAACATTCAACACTGTATACTGTAAAAAATGACCTATTACAAACGGGAAAAGGGGTGTACTAGAAAAGATGAACCCTTAAACTTGTTGGAAAAATAATGAAATGCTACTTCTTAGTAAATATTGTTTTAAAAGACAACCGATACAAGTCAGAACTTAAAAATAAAAATTGAAACGACTATAAAAGTTCCAGCATAGTGATATATTATAATACAAACAAAAGGAATAAATTTTAAAATAAAAAATTTTAGAATCTATCACTTATTAAGATTTTGCTTGGGAACCAGCAGATAGCAGTGGTTACGTCACTGGAGTCCCACATGGCTGACAGGAATTCAAGTCATGTGTGCCCATGCCCAAGGTCCCAGGAGAAGAATGGAGATGGCACTGCAGTGTGGCCATCACCCCTGAAGGGGTGACTGCTTTCCCTCTCACTGTATTCTACCTCTCTTCCTCTCATTGGTGAGCACATATCACCTACAGCTAAAACCTCTTAAAAAAAAATAAGAAAATAAATAAATAAAAGATTCTGCCTGTTAAGGAAAATTAGTTATAAACCACCATTCTGAAAAATCAAATTAAAAAAAAAATTAAAATATACGGGGTTTGGGTCAGCTGGTGATAAGGAGCGTAAGGGAGCTGGATCCCACAAGGTCCAACTATGCCGTTCTAGTCCTAGACCCTGTGGTTTGAAAAACATGCTGAGCACAGGTGTGCGCATACCCAAAATGCTGAAAGGAAAATGGAGGAGAAAGTACTGCAGCATGGCCATCCCCCTAGAGGGTGATTCCTCAGTTTCATCCTCTGTCAAGTACACACACTCTTAAAGCCAATCTACCAAACAAATAAACAGAAAACTTATATTCAAAGATAAGAAACATTTAAAAAGCAATTGTAATTTTAAAGTATGCTTAGGCATTATTAATGACTGTTCAAATCATTTTCTGAAGTAGGTAAATTACTTGTTTTGCAGATTTAAAAATTATAAAAGTTCATTTATTTAATAACCTACCCATTTATAACTAATTCAACTTAATTTGAAAGAACTGAAGATGGCATTCACTATTATTAATTCACAATCAATTAAACTAGCTTAATATTGACAAAGCAGTAAGATAATTTAAACTGTTTCACCACTTAACTTAGTTTCCATTAATTTACTAAAATAAACAATGTGTCACTAAAATGTGTAAGTGCTATATGTGTACTGTTCATAAATATTATCCAAAAGTAGTAATCAGATCTTGTATATAGCATGTGGCTTCTTCTCAGTATATGCTTAAAAAAAAGTTAATAAGGATGAGGAAATACCCGCATATGGTTAAATAACTTCCACAGTACAACAGGATACACACAGTGAAAATAAGCCCAGTTTCCATCCCAGACTCCCAGGAGTAACCACAACTGATAGACTTCAAAGACAAAGCTATAATTTCTCTTTCAAAAACCATTTTAGTAGCAGATATGAAGCAAAAACATAAGGATCTGGAATTTTAAGCAACATTCCCACACTTAAAAAAATAGAGGACTATAACATATAACAAAGGGTTAATATTGGGTTGTCTGAAAAGGCATACCACATTTTTCCATAGAAAAAGCACATAAAGACTTTAAGAGTTATTTTAACTTTATTTATAATTTATTTTAATTTGATTGGTGAGGGAGGGGAGGGACGGAAAGAAAAAGTGAGAAAGCAAGCTACCAGGTCCGGGACTTGAACTGCGGTCAGCCATGTGGGAGTCCAGAGCCCTTAACCACCACACCACCTGCTGGCCCCCCATAATGACTTTTCTGACATTTTCTCATTTTTGTTTCAAACCACCTTTGATTAAATACCTAAAGAAAACAACCAAGACCACTTTTGCTACCTAAAAATTCAAATGACCTCTTCAAATAAAATCTACCCCTATGAATGTATGATCAGCATACCCCCAATGGATTATATTTGGTCTTGTCATTCAATACTCCAAAATGTGGGACCAGCGGATGGCATAATGGTTACATCACTGGACTCCTATGTAGTAGACTGCCATTCAAGTCCTGGACTGGGTGACTTAAACTCACACAGGGCACGTCTGCATACATGCCCAAGATCCCAAGAGGAGAATGGAGGAGAAAGGATTGCAGCTTGGCCATCCCCCTTGGGAGATGGTTTCTCATTTTCTGTCTGTCTCTTTCTGGCGAGCACATAGGCCCTATAGCAACCCCCCCCCAAAAAAAAAAACCCAAAATGTTAATGCCAAGCTAAATAGTGAACACTTCAACTTCCACTTAAACTTCACAAAAACAATTACCTACAAAAAAGAAGTTCTAAAAATACACAGTCCTAAAAATAAAGAATCTAAAATAATGAGACAAAGTAACATTTTTTAAAAGATCTGCAGAGTATCTTTATTGGTATTTTAATGTTTCATAAAAGGCTAAACATGTTTTACTTGTGGGGATGGAGAGCACTTCAGAAGAAAATTCTAATATAAACCTAAATAAAATACATCCATAAATTGGTATATTTCATTTTAAAATAAATGACTTCTCTAATTATATATGGGTTCTATGCAAAGTATAGATTAATAATAGCAAAAATAAAACAAAAAAGATAAATCATTAAAACATTTCCTGATCAATCTATGTTCCTTCCCATTGTCATACCAATTTAATAAAGTCTGAGTAATGCTGATACCCATAATTGTGGTTTAAGTTTTTTTAAATAAGCTATAAATATTCAAAATGCTTGAAAGGTAAAATCAACAACTATTATGTTACTAGAGACACAGACACAAAAATTCTAATAATTAATTACAAACCACCGGACTTGACTCATCAAAGCTTAAAATCCAAATTGTTCTTAAGTCTTAAAATAATAATATTAAGTGCATACCCATTAAATCCAGTGACAATTTTCAGTATTCTTTCCTTCATTTCATCAAAGGGAATATATTCGACATTAGGATTGGGAGGACCTCTTGGTTCAGGAGCCGAAGTTCTGAAATCATCCATCACTTTCTCCAGTTTGAAAATAAAATAGCCTTTAAATTGAGACCACTGAATCCTACAAGCAAAAGATTTAAGAAAAACATAGTTTTATAATTCTTGAAAGCAAAGCAAAATATAGATTACACCATGACACTAATGGTAACAAAACTTAGATGTGAATATGTAGTGAGAATATTTAGGAGCATGCATCAATCCTGAGCAATCTGACTCACAAGCTTCAAAATGATTGCATTCAACTCCCCAACTCCCCTGACCCAAACAAAATCCCAATTTCTGATTAAAATTTTTCAAATGAACACTCTCTGGCTAAAAGCCTAGGTGTGCTAGGTCCCATTATTAGCATTTTTAAAAAGACTATTTTGATTTTACTTTATTCTTCATTATAAACCTAACAAGGGAGGTGGTACTGCCCTATTTAAGACATGTGAAAACAAGTCCATATCACTACCACATCCAAGCTACAATGCTTACATGTACAAGAGTTTCTTGTCTTATCTGTTATTTAACAAACTTTAATCCCTTTTCTTTTGCTCTAACTAGTATCTTCAAGTTCTTTTGTCATTTAATTTGCTCTATCTAACCAATGTTTATAGTAAAGATACAGTTTCATTATGTACTTCCCATAACCATTTATTACAGTAACATAAAGATCTTTTTATCCCTCTTCCCTTACTTTTTTTTTGGGGGGGGGAGAGGTTTTCGCTACAGGGGCGTGCGCTCGCCAGACAGAGAGAGAGACATAGAGACAGAAAGCGAGAAATCACCCCCGAGGGGGGATGGTCACGCCACAATCCCTTCTCCTCCATTCTCCTCTTGAGATCTTGGGCCCGCACACACACGTGCCCGGCATGAGTTTTAAGGCACCGGGTCCGGGACGCGAACCGCGGTCGACTACGTGGGAGTCCAGCGACATAGCCATTACGCTAACTGCTGGTTCCCTCCCCTTACATTTTTGAACTAATATAAAATTTTGTGATGACATCTGTCTCAATAGCCTAAATTCCTGGAGATACAAGTCAAAAATACCAACCACCTCACCAACCAGACAGAGTCATTGGTGGCAGCAGATGGGATTCTTAACACAGGCTGACTATTTAAACATAAATAAAGACATTATGAGATTTATTTTATTTATTTCAGTAAATAAACGACACAAAGAGGACCAACAGTTAGCGTAATGGCTATGTGGCTGGACACCCATGTAGCCAAACGTGGTTCAAGTCCCGGACCCAGTGGCTTAAACTCACGCTGGGCGCGCGTGCCCAAGATCCCACGAGGGAGAATGGAGGAGAAGGGATTGCAGTGTGGCCATCCCCCCTGGGAGGTGATTTCTAGCTTTCTGTCTCTCTGTCTCTGTCTGTCTGGCGAGCGCACGCACCCTATAGCAAAAACCTCTCAAAAAATAAAAAATAAACGACACAAAGGAAGAAATACTATATAGTTCCACTTACTTACATGAGGTATCAAGTATATACTCAATTTCAAAGAGAAAAGGTAAAACGGTAATTGTCAGAGGCTGAGGAGAGGTAATATCAGAGTTACTGTTAACTGTATGCAGAGTTTCAGTGTGGAGAGATGAAAAAGTTCTGGAGCTGGATGGTACTACAACATTATGAATATACTAATTCCCAGTGAACTAGGATGGTTAAAATGGTAAAGTTTATGTGTATTTTACCTCAATAAAAAAATTTTGAAAAATGGACAAAAGATACAAATTTCCCAAAGACAATATGTGTAAGTGAAAAAAGATCAGCATTATTATACACTAGGAAAACACAAATAGACAGACATATCAATTTAACACCCACTAGAATGGATGTAATAAAAAAGATGGACAAAGTGTCGGCAGGTAGTGTAGTGGTTAAGGTTCTCTCTGGACTTGCACATGGCCAACCACAGTTCAAGTCCTGGACCTGGCAGCCTGAAACTCATGCTGGGCACCAAGTGTGTGCACAAAATCCCAAGAAGAGAGGGACTGCAGTGTGGCTATCTCCTCACGGGTGTTAACTTCTCATTTTCTATCTCTCCGACAAGCATAGTTCCCTATAGGAAAAATCTCTTTTTAAAAAAAAGATGGAAGAGCTAGTAATATTTTGACACAATAGTAAATTGTTGGAAACAGGTAAAGAATAAAGTTAATGCAGAGTTGACATGAGATCCAAGAATTCCATTCTATTAAATAAGTAAATCATATGATATGTAAATTTCATCTCAAATTGATGAGGATGTTTAGAGGCTATGCGCATGATTACTTATTTTCTCCTTTCTGTTGACTATTTTTTTTTCCTGGAGAGGTTTTTGCTACAGGGCGTGTGTGCTCTCCAGAAAGACAGAGAGAGACAGAGAGACAGAAAATGAGAAATCACTCCGGAGGGTGGGGGATGGCCACGCTGCAATCTCTTCTCCATTTGCCTCTTGGGATCTTGGGCACGCACACACATGCGCCCAGTGTGAGTTTAAGTCACTGGGCCCGGGACTCGAACGGGGTCGACTACATGGGAGTCCAGCGACATAGCCATTACTAGCTAACTGCTGGTCCCCTGTTGACTATCTTAAGGGGAATTAAATGTAAAAGCAGCAGCAACACATTATAGTTTCTGATATGTCTTATTTATTTTCTTTTTTTTAAAAGATTTATTTAATTTTATTTATTCATTCATATATTTTTACTTGACCAGAGAGAGGGGGAAAGTGAGAAATTAAGTCACCAGATCTGGGACTCAAACCCTGTTCAGCCATGTGAGAGTGTCTAGCACCCCAACCACCATGCTACCTGCTGGCCCCAATATGTCTCATTTGTGATTAATGTGTAACTGTCGATGGTTCCTAAAACTTATCTTTAAATTTCATGAGACTCCCCACACACATTTAACAAACATTTAAATATACCAGGAAAGGTTATACTTATCCTTTCAGTTTCGTAAATAAAGAATTCTTTTTGGGGCCAGCAGATGGGGTGGTGGTTTGGAGTGCTGGACTCCCACATGGTTGACTGTGGTTAGGTTATCCCTACTGGCAGCTTGCTTTCTCACTATCCCTTTCTCTCTCTCTCTCTCTCTCTCTCTCTCTCTCTCTGGTGAGCGCATAAACCCAATAGCAAATTAAAAAATAAAGGAAGAATAAACAAAATTTTTTAAATGAATTCTTTTTTGGGGATTGTTTCCCCCTTACATTTCTTTAATTTTATTTATTGCTAATTTTCAATTTGACTACAGACAGGGAAAGTGAGAGTGAGAAAGCAAGGTCCGGGACTTGAATCACAGTCATGTAGGACCAGCACCTTAACCACCATACTACCTGCTGGTCCCTTTTAAGGTAGTTTTAATAATCATCCACTAGGGAGAAGTCATCTACATCTGAGTTGTGAGCTGTCCCTTTCACAGTACTAGGGCAACTGACTATTTACCATTCCAATTTCATCCTCCAAACTCCAATATCTAGACAGCTCTACATATCGACTGTCTAGAAAGGTCTAGGAGCATCAGAGAAATCCTCAATTCTCACTGAACCAGCTGCACAAAGGGAGAAACTCTTCTTCAAAAAAATCTCACCTCAAACCTCTTTCTGTGGATACCACGTTGCAAAACACAGTAGAGGAGAGAAATTGGCACAGAATTACCTCACAATAAATGCAAGTATATGAGCTTACAATCACAGAAACCTCCAACAAATTAGTCAAAAGTGAATATGTGACCAAATGACTAAAATTCATACAAGAGAAACTGCATAGTGAGCAGCAGGGAGAAGGACAGAGCTGCAGAGAGGGGGCTCAGCCCTACCCACAGTCCTCTTGAGCTCTCAGTTGAAATCCTGCAGCTCAGCCCAGATGCCGTTCCAGAAGGCCTCTGTAATATATCCAGTTCCAACAATAGAAGTGCAGCTGCTTGGTGGGAATCAGGGAAACAGAACTACAGAGAGATTGCAGATAATCCCTCCTGTACACCTCTAAATGCTCAGATTTAACTCCAAGAAATCAGGAAGGAACATATAATCCATCGGATGATAAGAAACCAGAGCAGAGGCACAAAAAATATGAGAAACTAAGAAAATATGCCTTCCCCAAGGGAAAAGTATAACTCATCATCCACAGATGATACAAATATTGGATAATGAATTCAAAACACTCATAGTGACAAAACTGAGAGATGCAAGAAAAGAGAGACAATGAACACCATAAGATGCAAGAGAAAAGAGAGGAGTTCCAGGAGGTGAGGAAGTTCTTGCATGCTCTAAAAGAGGAAATACATACCATAAATACTGTTAGAGATGAAGACTGTAATATAGGAAATCTAAACCTCCCTGGTAAGTATTACAAGCAGATTAGAAAATGCAAAGAATAAAATCTCAGATGCAGAAGACAAAACCTTTGACCTAGAAAAATTCACCCAAAAAACTGAGAAAATAACTCAATAAAAGTGAAAATAATATACAAGTAATACTAGATACCATTAAAAGTGCCAACATCCTGATCATCAGTATCCCAGAAGGTGAAGAAACTAAGGGCATTGATAATCTCTTCCATGAAATCCTGGAAGAAAACTTTCCAAACCTAGAGAGGCACTCAAATATCCCAACCCAAGAAATACAAAGGACCCCACATAGAATTAATCAAGAAGATCTTCCCCCAGGCACATCATAGCCAGATTGACCAAAACCAAAGACAGAGAGAAGATACTAAATTTGGCAAGAGTGAAACATCAAGTTACTCTCAAAAGATATCCTTTTAAGGCTAAGGACAGATCTCTCATAGGAAACAATGTGAGCAACTAAAGAATGGGAAAGTATATTTAAAGTGTTACATGAAAAACAATTTCAGCCAAGAATACTATACTTGGCAACATTATCCTTCATGTGGGGGAAAAAAAAAAATTCTCAGATAAACAAAACCTGAAACAATTAACCAATACCAGACCAGCGCTCTCTGAGAAGTTCTGAAGGAATCTGATACCAGGAAAACTAAAGACAGATCCACAGAAATGGGGGGGAGGGGAGGCAACTTAATGACAGAGACAAGTCTGGAAAGATCAATAATAAAGTTGAACCTTAACTTCCAGA